AATCACTGGCTCAACTTCAAAGATTTGGGTATGTATCTACAGCAAAAAAAACTTTTAAAGTGCCTAATGTGAGGCTCTTGTTTTCCACTTATTTGTTGTTTTAAGCGATTTAATTCCAAGAAAGACCAAAAAGAAAAATTATTAGGGAGAAATTGAAAGTAATGGTCTCATCTTATTCCATCACTTTCCACTTGTCACACAATCTCTACTATCTAAGAGAAATCCTCCTGTCAGGGTGGATCACAGTTGAAAACGGAAAGGAAATAAGATGTCTTCACTAAAAGGCTGTCCACTGTGTTCTCCATTATTTGCGTTTTTCAGGACTTAAATAACATCCCAGAGAGTGAGGATAAGAAAGCTGAAGGAAGAGTCCGCTGAAATATTATCTGGATTTGGTAGAGATTCCTAATGTGGGTGTCCATACTTATGTGTGTAAGGGCAAAATAACCCACCCAATCAGCCCCTCTCCCAGAATGTATGGGAAACATTTACAGACATATGATATGCATAGACTTCAAAAAATCCCTAAGCATATGTGTGCAGAGATACAGTCCTCTGAAAGCTCAGCTAGCTGTCCACACACGTTTTCACTACTGAAGTAAAGGCATTTCATTGCTCCCATAGTTTCTTTCTATTAAGAGCGATTAGAAGATGTCTATTTAAAGTTACTGATCCAAAGAGAAGTTAAGAGTAGATAAAAGGAGATTTCAAGTGACCTCCTCATTCCTTTCACACCAACCTGAGCCCTAGAATAGCCAAGGATCAACTAACACAAAAGCCCTTTCCTTTTTCTTTTCAGCTTCAGAAGATTTTATGCAAAGGGTTAACAATACAACATAGAGCTATCCTCCCGTTTTGTTAGACCATACATTTAATACTTATATTAACTTTTCTCATAGATGGGCTAGGTTTATATTCTACCTCTGAAATGAGTAAATAAAATATACATAGCATAACAGAGGGCACAATTATTTACTGCTCCATGAGGTTTGTATCTGTAGTGGTATATACCATGCTTATCCTCTTTTGTTTAAACTTTACCTATACCCCCTCACCCCTTACTGCTGGAGGACACTGTAATAAACATGTTTCCACTGACAGCTTAGAAGGAAATGTTAGGTTTGTTACTTAGATCAACCTTTTGATAGGTAAATACAATTGTAACATGACTGTAGCCACCAACAGATCTGCTGGCTTTGTGAGCAATACTTTTCCACTATTTATTTATTGTATAAATACATTTTAGTTTAGTTTATAGGCCTTGAAGGTGACATAAAGATTTAAACATATTTGAGCAGTCCTTAATCAGTGAATGTCCGACTCAGATATACTTCTGATGGGCTACTCCTGTAGTAAAAGAAATAGGTGCTCTGACAGGTAACTATTAAGGGAAATGATTTTACAGTGTAATTGATTACATTGTCAGAGTACTTTAACAAGCTTCAAACTCATTTCAAAACTTCAACTTTTCATCCAAACCCAATCCATTTTCCCTGAGAAGAAGAGCCATGCAGTCAGGCATTTAAAATAAATGAATACATTTCTAACATAAGGCTTACAATTATTTCTTTTTGCATGAATGCATGTAGATAGCTATAGCTTGACTTTTACAAAATGTAAATGTTTGGCCCTGCCTTCACTGATGTGCTAGGAATGATTGTCACTTTTCCACTAATAAGAGAGGCTTGCTTTGCACCCAAAAGTCAGTGCTTGCCCTTCTGCCATCTCCTGTGGCTACTCCTGGACCGTCTAACTGGAGGCCTAAGCAGAGCTGGGAAGTGCTTCCCTTATCTTTCTTTTCCAAAACAAGTGCTTCAAGTGGCAGGTTTGTGATAGAAAACCAAGCCACTTTCTAAGGTAAAGCACTTACCACTGTGGGTTTTGACCTAAAGGTGACAAAGAAGAAATGTCCAGGCTACAAGAGTGATAGTATTTGAGGCTGCTGGATCCCTGGTTCAGCTACATGGCCAGGCTAAGAGCAGACAGTCCAGCAGGAGCCCGACTCCCAACTTGGCCTTTCCACCCTTGTTTTCATGCTGACTAAGGCAGAACTTTTTACAGCTGGGCAGCCGCAATACAGACGAGTTCAATCTTGTGAGAGGGGAGTTTCTAACACAGGCAGGGGCTTTTGTGGTTGGTTGATTTGGTTTTTGTTTTTAGTAATTTCAAAACCTTAGGCAGGCATTCCTGTGCCTCTCTCCACCCTTTTCTTCAAAATATCTAGGCAAGACCATTTTAAATGCATCTTCTTCAACTGCATTCTTCCCAGCCTTACTCTCATACCAAGGGAGACTAATTGATTCGGCACCTTTAAAATAAGCTCCTTGGTAAAGGTCTGCAGTAAGATCAGAAGAACTGGCCTGTCTCCCAAGCAGTGCAAACATGTTCACCTCTCCAGATGGGCTTGATAAAACAGGGTTATTTCTGTTCTCTGGTCTCTCCAATAGAATAATTACATTTTTAACGATTTAGCGGGTAGGGAAGAGGTATGGGAGAGAATTTTCTACACATGTCTGGTCATTTGTATGGTCTCACAAGTCTAGATTTAGAAAATGTCTTTACAAGGCCACCTTTGTTCAGTGTGATTCACCAAAAGACAAAACGAAGGATCCAGTGAGTTTTGGGAGAGCAAAATACCAGTATCAAAGAGGTCATAGGATTAATAAAGAATAATTGAGCTTTCATGGAAACATTTTTGGGAGGAGGGGGTCAGTCATCTACAAAGGTTGCTCAGATCCAGACTCCTGGGGCCTGAAATGCAAGTTAATGCTGTATATGCAGCCACAGATCTCTGCTTCTTTCCTCCTCCTACGAGGTCACAACTGTCGGCTAGGAGAAACCAAGTGCAGTGTGGATGGTCTTTTAAAAAGTGATTAAGGCTGAGCCATGATGCTAACACCTGAAAGGGGCATTGTAAGCTTATCGCCTGATTCCTTTCCCCAGGTAGAGGGGTACCTTCTAATCGTCATTTGGGGGAACCTCACTGGAGACTGTGTGCATTGAATGGGACTGGTGACCAAGAAGGCAGAGGATGACTTAAGAGGGGAGCACCAGAAGTCCAGGCCTGGCAAACCTTTTCCTATCCCCAGTGTCTAGACTGGCCTCCTCAGTAGATAGACCTTGGAGAGGTCTCTGGGTCCGCGTCTCAAGGTAGATGCTGAGGTGAGGGCCACAGTAGGTCTGGGTGGAAGAGCCATGTCTACAGCTAAGGCTCAGGTAAAGAACTCAGGGCCTATAGGGCTTGCATGAGAAGGCATGGAGAAAGATCTGAAGAGAGGATGCGTGAAAGAAGGGTGGAAATTGCAACTTCATTTTCTGCTTCTGCCTCTGAGCATGCTTGGACACGTGTAGAATTTCACTTTGGGGACTTTATGAGCTCCCGCAAAATACAATCAATTTTCAATATGCCTGCATGTTGAAACACAATGTTGTTTATGTGAAACCTTCATAAGATATCAATGATACTTGAATTTAAAAATATGATCAATTTTCTTTCAGATGCCCTACCCCAAAACAACAAGCAAACATATCATTATCTTCTGGTTAAATGTGGGGTGCATCAGGCCCCAGAACCAGTGTGCCAAGCTGAGCCAGTAACAAACGACAGCCTCGTAGAAAGCCAGAGCTCCCCAGCACCTGACCTAACTTTTCAGTCCCTCCAGGGAGGCCATTTTGCGGGGGGAGAGGGACGGAGCATTCTGTGAGCACCAGTGGAGGCGCTCTGCGGTTCTGCAAATGCGGTAGGGGAACATAGCGTCTCCAAGAGAAACTGAGCTCTGAGTGCCGCTTGGGCTGGACGAGTCCCAGAAGAGGAGAGCGCCTGTACTCGAAAAGCTTCGGGTTTCTTCCTGCCTCCCCTCGCTACAGAAAGTTGGCGCGTGTGCCCTGCAGGAGCGTGATCTGTTCCCCTGAGCTGAAAAGCCGAGGGTTTCCGCGGCTCTGGTCAAGACCACCACCAGATGCTCCCCTCTCCCAGACTTGGGCTAGAGGCTGCACCTCTTCCTTCCTCCCCCCGGGAGGAGCTGCGGCTTCCCCAGAGGCCTCCAGGGCCGTGCTTCTCTCCATCCCCAGAGTCTCGTCGATCCCAAGGGCCTCTTCCAAGTTTGGAAGCTTAGGATGGGAGCTGGCAAGAAGCCCACAGTGAAGACGAGGCCGCCGCCACTCCCGGGGAGTCTCAATTCGGCCTCCCTGCAGGCCTTAACCGTAGCCTGCAAGGTCGGACCTAGGCCAGCCTTCTAGGCTGGCTCTTTTCTGTGCCCATCCAGCCCCGGGGCGCGGCCCCCGGCGTTAGCTTCCCCCGCCCCCCGCGTCCGCCCTGCTCGCCCTCTGACGCAAACGCACGCCCCTGCCCAGAGCGGAGGAAGGCGCTCCTGTTGGTTTTAATTATCTTCCTTTCACACACACCTCCTCGGTCCCCACTCCTGGGAGGTGACCCCCTCTCCCCCCACAGCCTTCTTGGCTGTGGCACGAGGAGTCTGGCCGGGCTGCGGAGCTGCGGATCTGGTGCTCTCTCGCTGCCGCTGCCGCCGCCAGTTCTCCGCTGGGGAAAGAGGCTTGGTGTTGCTTTTAATCCGCTGACACTATCGCCCACATCAAACAGGCAGCCATCGATCGTTTTGTGTTAGGGGATCCCGTTACAAACGGCGCCCGCAGGTGCGCGGCAAGAGTCGAGCTCACTAGGCCCTGGCTGCAGCTAGGCAAGGCGCGGGCAACAGGGCCAGTTGCGGCCGCACTCGCAGCCCTTTCCACCGCCGCTCCCGCTCGGCACCAGGGGGAGTGGTGGGCGAGGGGGCGGGGGGAGCCAGCGCTAAATCCGCGGATCCACCGCCCCCGGTACTCCGCCTCCGCGCTGGATACCTGACAGCCGTTTCCTGCCGGTAGGGGTTTGTGGGGTAGGGGATAGAGAATGGGGTGGGGAAGACCTGTTTTGAATTTGGACTGATCATGCTCGGCTGGCACGATCCTCAGCTTCAGGCCGGCCCTGCAACCGCGATCCCTACCTCCGCGCCGCCGCTGGACAGAGGCCGGACGAGGGCAGCTCCGGAGCAGACCCTGCGGAAAGTTCTCCTCGTCCGCACTCGCTAACTGGACTCCGGCCCCAGCCTGCAGAGGCCATTCGAGTCAAGGCTGCCTCTCGGCCTGTCCGCGATGCCAACCCCGAGTTCAAAAGAAACGATAATCATTGCATTACTTGCCTGGTGGGGCAGGACTTGGCTGAATTTCTCTCCGGGTGCCCACGACTCACGGTGCAGTGTCCGAGGGCGGCCGGGCCCGCAACTGGGCGTCCAGCGGGCCTCCGGTTCCCTGGTGCTTGCTGTCTGTCGCCTCCTCTTCCACTCGCTCCGTCTCTCCACGTTCTCTTTCCTTCTCCCTGTCTCCCTCTTCCTGCCTGCTTCCTCTGCCCTCAACTGCCTGCCTCTGTACTGTATGGGGAGTAAAATTTAGAATTTATATATAGAAAGCATGTTTTCTTTCTCTCTTTTACATTTTTTTTTTTGTCTTTTAATCATGTTCTTTTCACCTTTTAACTGACCGGGAGACGTGAGCGCGTTATCTGGGAAGAGGGGCGAGGGCAAGGAGCCCCTGCCAGCCCCCGTCACCTCCTCTCCATCAGCTGCGACAATGGGCCGTCGCTTGCAGAGTGCATTGACTGTCTCTCCATTATTCGAGCTCGAGGGGCTGTGGGGCAGGCACAGAAAAGCTTTTATTCTGCTCTTTAAAATCGTCGCTCGTCTCTAAGCTGTTGCGGACTCCCGACTTGTAGGCTGGAGAGATCGGGAAGCTAAAAACGCACCCCAAACACGCAGCGCTTCCCACACCCCTCCCTGGTGAAATTTAAAGTGAGACCGAGTATTAAAAAACAAACCCTACCTCTGTCAATACAGCGTGGTCATTTACTCCTACCTGTACCTGAGGGCGTGTTGAGGCTAGGGAAGCTGGAGCTGAGACAAACTTTTACGCTCTCCCGAGTGGAGGGGCGGGCGGGCGAGCGCAGCTCCCACCCCCGGCGGCTGCAGCGGCGGCTTTGTCACTGCGCCGTTTCGCGCCCGCCTGAGCTGACTAGGGGAGCGATCTCAAAACGTGGGGGGTGCGAGTGTGCGATTGGAGAATATGAAACTAATAGAAGTATCATTTTCCCCCAGTACGATCTTTCAAGGAAAAAAAAAATCCATTGAAAGAATTTTCAAAGTGCTGTCTTCGTTTGGAGAAAAGGCACAGGCTGCCTGCAGGGAGGGGAGGAGGGACCCGGCAGTGCGCCTCCCGGTCGCGGCTCCCGTCCGCTAGGTGGCAGCCGGAGCCAGCTATTCCTACAGGCCCCGGGGCTGGACCCGCTCCTCCAGTCCGCCCCTCCTCCCGCGACCAATCGCCTCCGGGAATCGGAATCAGGGTCTGTCTCTCTCTCTCTCTCTCCCTCCCTCTCCCTCTCCTTTCTTTCCCCATCATCTCCCGCTTTCTCTTTCTCTTTCCCTCTCCCTCTTCCCTTTCCTCTCTCCTACTCTCTCCCTCCCTTCCTCCCTCGCCCTCCATGTCTCCCCATCTCCCGTCTTCTTGCCTTCGCCTCTCTTCCTGGGACCCTGAGTTGGCTGCACTAAACCCCCTTCCCCAACAATATGAGGACTTACTACTATGCCAAGGGGGGGGGGGG